AAATTTAGAGAAAGAAGAGATGAAGGGAACTGAGATTTGAAAACTGGAAATTTTCTCATCAGAAGGAGTCTTGGCAGGGTTGTCACTCCTGTGTCCCCAGGTTTCATTAGCTTCAGGACACTGATAGTTGATTTGGTCGTGAGCCTGTAAGCATCTACAGTGTGCTATGGTTGGTGAGGAAAGGGACTGAGCAGAGACACAGCCTTTTCAGGCGAAGCCAGCTCCTTTTTGTACTTCACGATCTGTAGGAGTTACAGCGTATTAATGGCCAGTCAAACTCTCTGCAGGATTCATGGCAAAGGATGGTTTTAAGGAGGAGTTTGAGGGTAGCTTGTAAAGCTACCACAGGGTGCCGGACACCAGAGGAGGAAGAACAGAGGCACTCATTTTAAAATCTTCCGAATGGATGGTGGAAGTAGACCTCAGGGGGTGCTGAGCAATAGCGGGAGCTGAACTCTCCATGATAAGTGAGGTGAGGGTAGTCGTGAGGTCTTGGGAAATGAAGATGAGTAGCTTCAGGCTGCCGTTGCGGAAAAGGAGGAACTGGCAGATGGAAGCACCATGGGTGTTATGTCAGCGTAATGAGCTGGAAAAATGCACCACTGCAAAAGTGGTGTTCTGGTGGAGGTTAGCGGGGTGAGACTGTGCTCCTTCAGGCCAGAGTTGCAGCAATCAAAATGCAAGCTGACAGGGGCACGGGTGGGAGTCATAGCTGTTTTGGAAGCTTGTAAGGACCCTATGGAGCCATTAAAGCCTGAAGACCTAGAGGGTGATCTATGTTGAAGATGATACACAGGTTACGGATAAAGATTAAGGAAACAGGTACAAAGTATGTGTTCTTCGGGCAGGTGCAGTAGCATCCTGGACAGATTAACCTCATCAACTCCTTTTCAGAATTGCATTTGCTGAAAGTGGTGTAGTTTTGCTGTTCTGTTGTTTCCTAGGCATAATGCTGGATTTTGCCCACTCTTCAGTATTATTTGTTTCCATTGGTAACTCTTAAAAATCAGATGAAATTGCATGGAGGCCTCATGTGGCTTTTGACAAAGCAAAATAATAGCCTTGTATGTATTATTTCAGCTGATGCAGAAAATCGGATTTTGGACTGATAGGTTTTTCATCCAACAATCTCCTATCTTACTATTTTAAAAACTCTGTGTTGAAAGATTTTAACACAGATCCACAATTATTATGATTCTTCTTTTAGAGATATTTATGATTGCATCTTCTTTATGAATGGGGAAAGCAGTAAGTTTTCTCAAGTAGTGAATTAACTGGGTGATGGAAGTCCTGATGTCTTGTTTGTTTACCTATTAACAATGTGAACCTTTTAAAGATGAGTATTCTAGCGGATGCAGTAAGAAAAGGTTGCGAAGATGTACTTATGGGGGGGGGGGAAAGTCATGATCATAACAGGAATCATTTTAAGTAAGAAAGCCCAGGCAGATGTATTAATACACATTAATTTACAGGTTAATTCCTGTGATCAGAATCTGAACCGGTGCTGTGAAATAATAGAATTGAACTCTGAGATTCAAGGGCAGCTCTTCACAATCCTCAATGAAACATCTCAAGAAGGTAAATCAGTGCCATGTCTTATTACTAACACATTTTACATGTGTCATCTTTTCAAACTCTGGCTCTTTCTGTAAGTGTTCTCACAATTTCTTAATGTATCTTTTCTTAGGTGGGCATTATGCAGGTGTGGAAACAATAAAAACTCGTCTCCTGCCATGGCTAGGGACTTGTTTTTCCTGTGCTACTTCAGGAAGGCTCTTTGAAACCAACCTCTCTCTCACTCAGGTATGTAGGAAACTTTATTTTAAGGGAAAGAACGGTGTGAATTTATACCTGCAGGGGAGCTTTAATGACTTTCTGTTAATAATAGCTTCCCTCCCTGATTTTGCTTAATGAAATATGTCCTTAGTTGCTCATGGAGACAACTATGCTATTTCTCTGTCTCATCTTGTGTTTCCTTTGAAAGGGAAATCAAAGAGGTCATTGAAGTTAGTTTTGGCCTTCTAGGGCTTAAGCTGTTTCACAGCAATGAGTGACAATATGGAGGAGTGTGCTTTGTAAGAGAAGCTATCTTCTTGTGCTGCTTTCCTTTTCTAGGTAAAGAATTATGCTACATTTACATTTGCAAAGACATAGAAGTATTTATACCATATCTTTACTAGTAAAAACCTAATACTATGTGAAAAAACATATGTAAGCTGAAAGTGTGTATAAACTTCATGCATTTATCTGTGAGTTCCATTTATTTTTTTGAAGAAAAAAATCTTTGTTTAGTATCTGAGCATTATAATATCTCCAGAAGGGAAAAAGAAGTGCTCATGTCCATCATTTTACCATCACGCGCTTGACTTGAGTTTTGGAGTTAATATGTATTTGATGTTTACTGAAGGGGTTGTACTACTGACAGTTTGGCAGGAAAGAGAGATCTGCTGTGGCTTTGTGCTTTGAAAGAAAATAAGAGCATTCGTTGATGCTGACTAGGGGAAAATATTGAAGATCTTGAGATTTGACAGTGATGTTTCCATGTTCTCTGACTTCTCATTTTTATACCTCTTCTGTCAAAATTTTTCACAACTAAAATAAGGCCAAATGAAAAGTGATATTCCTTAAGAGTCAGATTCTAGTGTATTGCAGGAGGAGGGTTCTGCCAAAAAGCCCCAAAATGTAAAATAATGATGTTATTAAATGATAGTACACCAGTTACGGATTTGCCACTGCATGTGACATTCAAAATTTAAAGAAAGGCCTGCTGCACAGTTACTTATTTAAATCTGGTAGTATCAGGCAAATCTACAGGTTGTTAAAGACAGAGCTGCATATGTTGTGTGCTTTCTGGAATGACAGTAGTTGCCTCCTCTGTTCTAATAACTTTTTCTGCTATTGTGTGTACATGAATTCCCAAAACCTTTCCTTGAGTTGGTGATATAGTCAGTCAGAAGATGACTGACTGGAAAAAAAAACCTGTG